GTTAAGTTGGTCGCTATAAGCTACTCCCTACGTCCAATGTGTCAGAGCCAACTTCGATCACGTTTTTATTTGAACGCTCGTTATTTGAAAAGTTTTTTGATAAGTGATGTTTTGATTTAAAATTTCGTTTAAACTTTCTCGATGGACCTATTATGCAAATAATTTTGCTCTACAGTATTCAAACTGTAATGAAAATTGTATTGCAGTAAGGTAGGTACCTACCTACTTTTGTAATTTTTCATACTGAACTCAACTCAATTTTATATACTGTACGTACAATAATCTTTTGTATCGAGTAACGCATAATTGTATGTTTTAATGTTGTGGTGTCGGATTTACACGTGTCGCTTAGTTATTTTCACGGACGGTGTGTCTCTTTTAAGGGAATTTAAGTTAAATTAACATTTTTAATGAACTACGATGGAACAATTAAAGGTAATAATGTATCCTGACCGACAGATGTATTAAATAATGTCCCATCACTGTCAGATAATTTTTAAATTAATTTTCGTTCGGTAATTTTTTTATAATCGGCCGCGAGGCTCATACCTAGTGGGTTTTGTACAAACCAACCGATTTTAAGATTTCACCGGTAGTTGCCCAATCGCGACGCCCTAGAAAACGAACAAACGAACCCAAACAATCCTCCGCACAACGGCCCGTCACAAACACAGCCCCCTCGGTCCGACAAGACGGTCGAAAACTTGTTTGGGATCGCTGCGGCGTGAAGGTCCGCCGAAGGGCGGGAGACACTAAATAATACACGGAGAGTATGTGGCAGAGAACGCTGCACAACGCATCATTTCTCGGAATCGGTCCTTTTGGTAGCCTGGGCAGGCCGGGATGAGGGCTCGCTTGCGGGCCGCTGCCGCCTCGGTTCTTTCTCGTTCGCGCGCGGTTGCACGTACGTCGCCTGTACAGGGCGGACAGCAAAATTTTGACCTTAATAAGCTGTCACCATCGTCTGAAAAATTTTTTGTAAAATCCTTATAGTTTTCGGGAAAAAATGATTGAAGTTATAGTACATTCAACCACTACATAGCTGGACAACTGTAGTCTCTAGCGTCATTCGCAATACGCCTGGAGAGCCAATTGGCCTCAGCGACTCCGAATACTGAAATCCATTCTGCAGTCGTCGTTACGATAGTGTTTACCTGTTATCTGTGGTGTTTACAATAGATTTTTCGTAGTTAGTGTCAAAAATTGTTTGCGTGTATAGCAATTCGAGTTGATGGATATCGTTTTAATTTATTGTGAAGCAAGACAACATTTGTCTTAGTTCGTATAAACTTAGTAAGACTGACCCAAATGTGTTTACACGTTGGTGGATAAAATTTTGAACAATTGTTGTTGTAACATCGGGTGTGTCAAATGATTTTATTATTTAAAAACAAATTAATTTTATTAATTAATAACAATAACGGCAAAAGCAGTTGAATTTGCTGATATAAAATATAAAATTCTATTTATTTCTTTCCTTGCTAAATTTTTTGTTCATTTTTATCACATCGCCCATGCCAGTCGCATTGTGCGAGGTCAGGTTTTACAATGGACCAGTTTCCAGTGCCGTGCAGAAGTGTATTTTTAAATCATTTTCGAACTGCCTTTTTTTGATTTTTTTTTTACAAAATTGTATTTGTAAGAGTCCCTTGTACATCCACATTTTTTTTTTTTGGATAAGTTCTGAATCACCCTGTATAAATAAATTGACAAAGAATTTTAGCATCATTCCTACAAGAATGTATTTTTCCCTTAAAACTTTCTTGAATTTTAGTAATTAATTATGACAAAAAAACCTTTTGAAGTTGAGTTATAAAGCAAAAGATGTATATTTGTAAATATAGTTATATACAAATATATTCAGTTTTAAGTACATAAAAACTAATAATTTTATTTAAAATATGTAAAATCTAACAGTGTACCTATACAGGGTGGTTCACAACTTATCCAAAAGAATTTGCGAATAGATAAGTACGTCATGAAAAATGGAGCGAATATCGTAAAAAAATGTTTGTTGTAAAATCCTTATAGTTTCCGAGAAAAAAATTATCGAAGTTGTAGTATTTTTAACCCTTACATCGATGGGCTATTGTAGTCTCTAGCACCATTCGCTCAAATGGCCTTAGGCGATTCCGAATACTGAAATGCGATATTAGTATTAAAATGTTTTTTTGATAGTGTTTACTTTAGTTTTTCAAGTTCCAAAAGACTTACGTGTATTGCAACTCGGAGTCGATGGATATTGTTTTAATTTATGGTAAAGCAAGGCAACAATTGTGTTATGGTGAAGCAAAATTGCATTTGTGTTATAGTGAAGCAAGACATTTGTGTTAGTTTGTAGAAACTGAGTAAGACAGACACAAATGTGTTTACACGTCGGTGAACAAAATTTTGAACAGTTGTATTAGGTATGTCAAATTATTTTATTAATTATTATTAATTAAAACCACAAATTAATTTTATTAATTAATAATAGCGGCAAAAGTAGTTGAATTTGCTGATACAAAATAGGTATTATAAAATTTTATTTCTTTCTCTCCTTGTGAAGAAATTCATTCAATTTTTTGTCCCTTTTTTGCCATGCCCGTGTCACCCTGTATATTCAAAGCATAACAAATGCGTAGTAGCAACCGCTGGGCGCAGGGGAGGTCCGATCAGACTGATTTTGATGTCGTTGTGTAGGTTGGACCTTTCTGCATCGAACAGAACTGTCCCGGACATTCCACGATTAAAGGGGACGCAATGAGTAGGGAAATGGAAAACCTATACATTTTGACTATTCTTATAAGACTGCCGATGTTTTGAAAGTGTGAAAACCAAGTTCTTCCCCGGATGAAACAACATAACGACCAGCAGTAGCACCTCATAAATAAAGACCGATTACAATTGATTACAATTATTGGAATTTCAAAAAAAGTAAAACAAAGAAATCCACACTGATATTTCTCTGATTTCTATGATATTTTCTAAGTACTACAGGTTTTTCAAGTTTTCTCGATTCTATTTCACCGTATTTAAACTGTTTTCAATGCTGAATGTGCAATTAAAATGAAATTAACTGAAATCTCAGGTAAATAAAATACACTTTCATTATTGCTACCAATTTTAAATTGCCGCCTAATTAAATTATGCGAACAGAGCCATCTATCAACAGTTTCTTGAGCTTAACACAGTTAACTGCAGAAGAACAATAAATTTATACAGAAAGCCAACATCTCTCTTGCCTTTTCTATGAGATTTCTTAAAAAATGGAAATCCACCTTAGCATACCGTAGAATTTAACCATTTTAAGTTATTTTTTTAATAAAAATATCGAAGTACGCAAATACAATAAAGTTATCAAACAGCACAATCTCGTTTTTTTTTTCAACGCGTTTCATCCTCCACCGGCCACCTTCATTTTCGGGTCTACCCTGTACGCGCGCCGCGGCCCATCTTAACACCATCTGTCCGAACGCGGTAATTGCCAGGTAAGAGGGCCAATTTGGTCCCGCGCAAGGGGCTTTATCACATATTTATTAGTACCCAGAATCGGTAGAGAAGAAATTATGGTGCCGGCCTACCGCCATCGTGGAGGCTTTTCACACTATCACAAAACATCGCGTTACGGACCGGAGGGTTTATAATTATAGGGGTTTCGGGTTTGTTATGCACGGAAGGAGGTGTTTCAAGCGCGTAACCACAAACCAGAAGAAACCTAGATCAACGAATCTGAATGTAACGTTAGATAATAAAATATAAACGTTTTAAGAACACATCGCGCGATAGAAGTAAAGTAATTGTTAAAATGTCGATTAGAAGTCTTAGTTTATGACCACCCTGTAGGTAATGATACACTACAGTGCCTTTAACTCGGAAAAAATCCTAGTACTTAGGCACGTTTTATTATTTAGGATATTATGATAAGCGAAGTAAAACTGCAATATTAATCATATATTTGTGACTTTTTAAAATTACTACGTATTACTACAAGACACTGGCATATTTTCAACATTTAGTTACTTGGAAAAGTTAAAAACTTATGAACATGTGGGTAAAATAACATTGCAGATAAGAATATATTTAATTTCTAAGCGAATGAAAGTACATAGGAATGTCATAAAATATTTCTGTAATTTTTGAAAAATATTACGTCAAAATAATAAATTTTTAACAATCCGATATTTCATATAATACTTTTGGTTTATATAAGACTAATATTGTATTGGTACTACACTAGATCACGACGAAATAAACCTAATAACAAAAATCAAATGTCATTTGTTTCGACTTTAATAAAAAAAGATTTTTTTAATTCCAAAAGCACTTTTTTAACTACTTTACAAATTAGGTACCACAAAGGAGGGATGACGATCACGTTTTTTTTTCATTTCCCAGGACAGTATAAATGTATATATCCAATAAAATTTATTGAAAACCGAAAGTTTGTATGAGCTTGAGACACATTCAGGAATGAAAACATATCAATTTCGGCATTTGTGTATCAGTGCTGACTTAACAGATAACATCAATCAAGAAACATTAAGCGAAAATAAGTAGTGGTTATCTACACAAGTACCTGTATAGACATATCGAATTATTTTAAAATGTGTTCGATAGAGCGTGTTGTGCTGAAAAAAATCGCCTATATTAATTTTGCGCAGGCACCCGAGAACGATTAACCATAATAATTGGCCGCTTAGTTCTGGACAAATTAAATTTAACTAGGGCATAAAATTTACATTTTCGCGTGTTAGACTGCAGAAATTTACATACTGTTTTACATAACGATTACATCGTCGCCTCGCGATGCATATATAGTTACATTATACAACGATTTTTCGTAATTTTATGGAAACTGTCAGCCAACTTTTTGGTGCCACAGTGTTCCAGGTATAACCTAACATGCCAAACAAAATTAAACTGCAGAAAAATTCCCGATATCAGATACACGGAAGCATTTTCTAATTCCGCAACATATACCGCAGTAAACATTGATTGAAAACAAATGATCGACTCACCTTTTTAGAGAACGTATTTATCGTTTCTACTAAAAATCCAAATGTTATTTTTGTACCAAAAACATAAACACAACACATTTTTAACACAGAAACATTTTGCGGGATGAGAACGGGGTGGGGGAGAACAACCGAAACGGTCCGGGGTAACACTTAACGATAAATTAACACTAGTTTAATAACAAATAAAGAAACCGTAAACACGGACACTCGGATTCCGTTCTACGCTAGAGTCGCCATGAGAATATACACTCGTGCGAACGTACTCCACCTGCCTGACAACTGTTGAACTAATCAACTCGGCGTCAACCAATCGCGGCGAGCCTGGGGGAGTCCAGCGCTCCTTGATCTTTGGTTTCGAATCGAATTTTGGTAGAGGGCTGAACATAGAATAATTCGATTTCATCCAACCAATTTACTTTATAACAACCCCATTACCTTTCCTGCGGATTTACACCACTTCTCCTAACTGTTAAACATTATTATTATCAAATTTTAGCGAAGCAAATTGAATTATTTTCAGGTATTGGTTTAATAATTAGAAATTTTCATTTTTTAAGAAAAATATGCAGTTTACATCATGTTGGCCACAATTTATTAACAATTCGCTTACACTTTAAGATGAACCATTGTATATTTAAAACAACCAAAACACAATAATAAGTAATTCCTGATATATCACTTGTTGTTTTCTTTGAGATTTCATTGCGTCTTTCGGCTAAACATGAACATTTACTACTACTGTGACTATCAAATTTTATGTCATCCCAGTGATTTAATTTTTCGAAGAGTTGCGCCTTCCTTCTCCCATATGTTTCAAATGCTTCCTCGCTGAGTATCAAACTGTTTTCTATTTCATACTGTACACGTAGAGAGTCTGCTTCCCGTTTGACGAATATAAAAAAATCGATTAGATTTTCAAAGTAACATAGGGGATAATTTGTGCTTGGCTTAGTTGTATTTCCCCTTTGAACTCCATTTGTTGACCGTTTACCTTCCGTTTTGGTGAAAAGGCAAGGTTTTTCTTTGCGATTATCATTTAAAAATTGTAACTTCTTGTAATCATGTAAACTAGAAAAACTCTTAGCTGGGTTAGGTGAACGATGAATTTTTTGGAACTGTGTACTCAAAACCATAAGGATCTTCTTAATTAACCTGTTTGAAAGTTGGGAATTGAAATTATGGCACTACAGGAGTCATCGTAGTTGGGTATATTTCAGAGGAATGTATTTCAAATTTTATATCTTTCAAATATGGTTTGGAATGACATTTAATCAAATCGGTTATGTCAAAAAATTAATTGAAAATTGAATATTTCTATTCATTTTTAGAAGTAGGTTTTGTTTTTGGAATAATTTTGAATAATTCGAGCTTAATAAATTTCATGAGACAAAAAAATATAGCAATTGTAACATAAAATTGCAGATCATTCCTACAAATCTGTAAGGGCAATACAGTTGTATAAACAGGTTCTACAGGGATAAAAAATTGTGACTTATTAATCAACAATATTAAAAAAGCGTAAATTTTTCCCTGTTCTGTGGTCCATGAGCACATGCAAAAATAGATTCCATAATGTACCAATGTAGTAGTGTACCAATACCAGACAAGTTCGATATGACTCTCTCTCTCTAATACACCTCTTTTTCTTTTCATCAGTTGTAATTAGAAAAGGACAAAAATGTTAATACCGAACTAGCCTACTGCCAACCACAGACCACTAAATCTATATCTGTATATTCTAAGATCTATGATACCAACTGTATCACATATTTTGTGTTGCCAACTGTTAAATAAATAAAATTACTGAATTTTGTGAACGCCGCCGCCGGAGGAAGCCGCCATATTTATCAATTATTTACTATTTGTGTCCATATTTTTCTAGGGAGTGACAAGTTTTGTTAATAAAACGGCACTAATTTACTAATTATTTAATTTATTCCTTTAATAAAGAAGACTTTTTTATCTGGTACGGTCTGAAAATGGGAGAAGAAAAAGGTAAGAATTAATTTCTTTGGTTGTACGATTGTTTTGAACCTTTTATCACTTTTAGAAGGTAAAGAAAGAGAACGAAGCAGAGAAAGGGGGGACAGGGACAAAGACCGCAGGAAACGCTCCAGGTCCCGCGAACACAGACGTCGCTCCAAGTCCAGGAGCAGGGAACGCAGAAGGAGAAGTCGATCAGGCTCTCCGAGACACAAGAGCAGTGCCTACTCGAGAAGGAGAAAGCCTTCTCTGTACTGGGACGTGCCCCCTCCGGGTTTCGAACACATCACTCCCCTGCAGTACAAAGCTATGCAGGCAGCGGGGCAAATTCCAGCTAATATAGTTGCCGATACGCCACAAGCTGCCGTACCGGTTGTGGGGTCTACCATCACAAGGCAGGCTAGACGATTGTATGTGGGCAACATTCCGTTTGGTGTGACGGAGGAGGAGATGATGGAGTACTTCAACCAGCAGATGCACTTGAGTGGGTTGGCCCAAGCGGCGGGCAATCCGGTGCTGGCGTGTCAAATTAACTTGGACAAGAACTTCGCTTTTCTTGAGTTTAGGTCGATCGATGAGACTACGCAGGCCATGGCCTTCGACGGCATCAACTTCAAAGGTAGGCAAATGAAATTCGTGTCTTTACATTCTCTTTTATATTGTCTGAAATTGCTTTTTGGTTGGACCATAGCTCTTGGGTACCTGGCATATCTCCGTCAAAAATTAATATAAAAATCTGAAATTTTAGGAGTGTACTCTAGATGGGGAGACCTAAGAGCGCACGTAATTTCAACTCACCCCTTCCACCCTAGGGGGTGCGGAAGGGGTGAGGGGTGTTTTTTTTAGACGTACCCTAATTCTTTTGCGATTTTCGGATTGTACACGTAAAACTACCCTCGGAAACGCGTTCTTGCGGATACGTCTAAAAACCACCCCTCACCCCCTCCGCACCTCCTAGGGTGGAAGGGGTGAGTTGAAATTACGTTCGCTTTTAGGTCTCCCCGCCTATAGTATACACCCCTCAAATTTCAGATTTTTATAATCATTTAGATATGCCCAGGTACCCAAGAACTATAGTCATCGAAAAAACGACAAAGTCCATACGAGGTGGATTTTGGTTTTTGTGCGAATTCGGCAAGAACGCATTTCCAGGGGTAGTTTTACGCGTAGAATCTGAAAATCGCAAAATAAATAGGGTACGTCCAAAAAAACACCCCTCACCCCCTCTGCACCCCCTAGGGTGGAAGGAGTGAGTTGAAATTACGTGCGCTCTTAGGTCTCCCCATCTAGAGTACACCCCTAAAATTTCAGATTTTTATATTAATTTTTGACGGAGGTATGCCAGGTACCCAAGAGCTATAGTCCAACCTTGCTTTTTTGTGGGATGATTTAGTAATTTTGAAGTTATATAATTCCGTTAACATTACATTTCCAAAACGTTATAGGAACTTCTACCGTTATAGTTAGAATCACTGTTTTGGTTTCTTTTTATTCATAGTTTCCGGATAGGTATTTACAAACAGGGAGTGAGCATTTTTTTTTAATGTGTAGGTCAAAGTTTAAAGATTCGCAGGCCGCACGATTACCAACCGATGCCGGGTATGGCCGAGAACGCCATCAGTGTCCCAGCGGGCGTGATCAGTACCGTCGTACCCGATTCGCCTCACAAAATCTTTATCGGAGGCCTTCCGAATTATTTGAACGAAGATCAGGTAAGTACGTTGTGGCGGTACTGTGCAATCGTCTGAGATCAAGATTATCCACTCGTCGAAACGTTCTTAAAATTTCGTATATTTATAATCTTGATTCGAAGCGAAGCTATGCACGAAAAGACGTAATTCGTCGAGTAGATAACCTTGAAGTGAGCGAATGTTGTGGTGCGTGAGGGAATGGCATGTTTTCCTACATTTTCCCTAGCTTTAGCGTCAAAACTTGGGCGCCAATCAGCAGTCAGAGTTCATAAAACACCTCGCAGGGTCTTTTCTTACAGCCTTTTACAGGTATTCACAGATTATTCAGCCATAGCGGTTAGTTCACGGCAGTTGTTTTTCAGGGTGCGCCTTTAAATTTTTTTTGTAATTAGGATCTGCATTGAGCAAAGCTTAAGCAAAATTTGAATGGGATTGGGTGGAGAATCCGAAAATTTTACTTTTTTCAGAAACGACAGTAGCGCGTTTAAGTCGTGGGTCCATTTTATCTTTGTCGGGGTGGTACCGAAAAGGTAATTTAAAAAAAAATCTCACCGACAAAGTTTTCGTGGACCCGAGTCGAAGCATTTTGTTTTTTTTTAGTTTTTTCAATAATAAAGAAAGTTTCAGGAAGATTTCAGGTATTTAAGACACTTTCAGGTACTTTACAGCAAAAATCGACAAGTTTATATACAGATATATTTCTGCAGCAACTTTTCAGATTTTCTCTTTCAGGATTTCTCATTCTTTCAGGCAAAACCAAGAAAAAAGCTCTATTTTTAGGTAAAGACGTATTTCTCGCCAAATATGCTTTTATTCAAAAATGGGGACAGTTCTAGATTTTTCAGGTTTTTCTCTTAAATTTTCAGGATTTGTAAATTTTATTTCAGGAACAATTCGGATTCAAATTAATTTACAAAGACTTACTGAAAATATATCGCAATTTCTTACTTTATTTTAAAGATATTAAGGAAATTCAAACAAATGAAAAATTTTTTTCTAAAAAAACAAATGAAGTCATGAAATTGAAAACATTACTTATGGGGTCTGACTGTGTCTACCACATGTTTTCGAGGTCGCTGAATCCGAATCCGGGGTACATTTAACCCCATCACATCAGGGTTTTTCATAACCACAGAAATAGACCCAAAAACCCAATAAATCCTCTATTTATTGACCACTTAGTTCCTATAACCCCATAACCCCTTAATCCTATAACCCCGTAACCTTTAAACTCTGACACCCATAACCTGGTAAGAAGGAGACTTATGCGCGTTTAACACAGTATGTTTGAGCCATACGTGCTTCTTGAGCCGTAAACCCCATATTTCCAAATAATCCCAGAACCCCATAGCCTAAAAACCCAGTCAAGAATAGACTTATGCACGAACTGTCATTAATCGAAACTTCGCTTGACCTTTTCGTGCTACTGGGGACCAACCCCCTACATCGTAATTTTTGTGTGTTTGCCACGACGACATGAATGCTGTTATCCAGGATCTCTGCCGGATGACGGAATAACTCCGTTGTCCACCGTCAACCACGTAGAGGTGGCCTGGATTGCAAACGCACGAATAAGTAGTATAGCAATGATGTACGAAGTTTCGATTTATGAGAGTTCGTGCATAACTTGATCAGGTTTTGAGGTTATGGGACTATGGGGTTCTGGGGTTATTAGGAAATATGGGTTTAAGGCTCAAGAAGCACGTATGGCTCGAACAAACTGTGTTTGAGGGTTTAAACGTGTATAGATCTCTGTCTTACTGGGTTATGGGTGTCGGGGTTAGGGGGTTTCGAGATTACGGGGTTATAGGAATTGAGTGGTTAATGGATAGAGGATTTATAAGGTTTTTGGGCCTATTTTTTGAGGTTCTGAAAAATCTTTATGGGATGGGGTTAAATGAACCCCGGATTTGGATTGAGCTACCCCGAAAACTTATGGTAGACATGTTCAGACCCCAGACGTAATTTTTTTGATTTTTTTTTTGTGGAGTCGTACCTAATACACTGAAATAGCTATTCAAAGAAGTATCTTGTATTCTTGCTGTTGTATCGTTCATATTAGAGCAAATTAGATTTCTGGCATTGTTGAACATCATTTGAATGAGTTTTGTAGAAAAAAAATTTTAAAATTAACTTTTAAATCTTTTAATACCTTTAAACTGAAGTAAAAAATACGAAAGCTAATATAGAGTACATGTTTTTTTTTAAATTGTAATTTTTGTTTTTTAAAAATGTTTTAAGATAGAAAACTAGAAAAATTACGTTAGTAAAGCATTTCAGCTTTGCCCCGAAAAGTACTACAAAATGTCATCAAACTTAAAATCGATGTGTAAATACGTGAAAAACAAGTAAATTATCTCAATGAAGAAAACAATTTCGCTGGAAGTAAGTCTTTAATTTTGTAGTTTCCCCTTAAAATCACCCACAATTTTGAAATTTTATACAAACATTTGTTCTTAAGAATAGCGTTTAGCATTTTGTTTTACACAGACTGTTAAAAGTGTCTCATGTTCTGCTTTTTTGCCCTATAGCTAGGGTTAACGTCTCGATCCCTATGAGCGTTTCTGCTACACATATAAACCTGAACACCCTGTGGATATTACAAGGCAAGTCATTGTTCGTAGCAGGGAAAATTATTACGCTACGCTTCGTAATTCTGACTGACTCGGGGAGATATTTTTCAATAATAATTACATTTTGACAAACATTCGTTGACCCCATCAAAAATAATGCTGATGTTTAGAAAAGAAAGATAAATTCGGTAACGTTTTTGTTATTTTCAAAATTCAGTGGTTTCGTTTTTGAATAAAGGGATAAAAGATACTTAGGGACATAGATCGTAGATATTTTTATATAGGTGTTTTGCCACACAGCCATTTTAAAGTAAGTCTATACATAAAAATAACTGAGTTAGGCTGAAGTGTACTCAAACTCAAAATTCGCACCAGCATAAGTATAGAGTGGGTTTCTCGAGTGCCTCGCCAAAGTAGATTTTTTTTTTAACCAGTTCTGCTACTTTGAATTGGTTTGTTTTAAGAACCATGTAGGGTGTCGAAAAAATAGCATACTGGACATCGGAATGCGATAGCATTGATCAAAATCGCCACAGCCACATTATCGCCACAGTAGCGCAGTCGGTCGAGAGTGCGGTGGCAAGCATTTCTCAGCTAGGCTTCCTACTCTGGTCCGGGTTCGATCCCCGGTGTCGGCACTGGCAGTGTCGATGGATAATGGGTGTTTGTCCGCGTTTTTTCAAGTGTAGCCCCCTTCCGCACAAGCCTTTGGCTTTTGGATTTGGGGGTTGTCTCATTTCTGTGGTGTGTTTTATGTTTATGTTTAAAATAAGAGCCGACCAACGCTTGTAAATGTTTTGGCGCTAGCTTCAGATAAGCGATTCTGTCCTTAACGGTTTTAATAACAATATGAACGAAAATGGACATCAAGGTAGGCCTAAGGCTTCTGATAGCGGGTCTATTTCCCAGAGCCTAGCCCAAGAACGAAGGCAGGTCAGAGATTCCTAGCTAAGTCTGCGGAAGTGCTATGTAAGTCTATAACTGGTATCAACCAAGCGTAACAGTCCGGAAAACTATCAAATATTGACATGGACATTGAAAGCCTTAAAACTACTGGAAATTTTCTGTATTACGATTTTAAACACAAATATCTTGAGTGTACTTTCATAAGATCTTTTTGTGTTTTGATCAGTACTACCGCCTCCCGAAGTCCGGTTCACTATCTTTTTGACACCCCGTGTAAAGTCTGTACATTTTTTTGCATTTATTTCTTATTTCTGCACTTTGTACAATGTTTACGCTTCGTGGAATAATTCAAGTATCTCCTTTTGAGTGTGGGTGCACTTCCACGTTCCCAATACGCGATCGTACTGATTGTGGTTAAACGTGTGTAGGTAAAGGAGCTTCTTATGTCCTTCGGACAACTGAGGGCCTTCAATCTCGTTAAGGATACCGCCTTCGGACTTAGCAAGGGCTACGCCTTTGCCGAATACATCGATATTACAATGACGGATCAGGTGGGTAGTCAAAATCCTTCGGATTTTGCATTTCTTAAATTTCTAAAATGATATTCATAAGTTGACAAATCGAATGCTTTTGTACCAAGTTGAGACATATTTTTTAACAATATCCTTATTACGTAAGACGTAGGTATTTTTCTGCATATCAAAATAAAATTGGGATTATACAGGATGTTGAAACAGAAACACAGTGTTGAAAATTAAAAAAAATATATATTAATATTTTACATAAATTTGGAACAGTCGATATTAGGTTCTTAAAATTTGGCAGTTATTGTACGTTGGCAAAGAGCTGCATTTTTAATATAAAGTCAATTTTTATCCGCCGCCAGTGGCATAGTTAGGCGTGAGTCAGTCAACGTTTTGTCATAGAATATAGCACGCCAATGGATTTTATTAAATTTCTATCATTTTCGGACTAACCTAACATTTTACAACAAAAAAGGCATCTTGAATTTTTTGCCTAATACGAACCTATTCTTAGAAGAGAGTAGGTACTCGCCAAGAGAAAAATTTCTGGAATTTTTTTTTCATTGACAGTTATACTTTAAAAAAACTTTATTTGATGGCTTACAAAATAGGGGTGTGTGAAAAAAATACAATTCTGTGGATCAATAAAAATATCTGAACGACATTGTTATAGAAAATATGATTCTGAATGTCAGGGAAAACAGTAATTATTACAGAGATGGGACACCAGCCCATTTTAGAAGCTAAATACAAGAGTTTTGTAGAAGTTCAGTTGTGTGGCCAGCCAGGTCACCAGATCTCAACCCTTCTAATTTTTTTTTATTTACTCTTAGTAAATCCTTTAAGTTGGGTATGTTATGCCCAACTTTGTTTTCATTATTAATACAGTAGTTTTTTGACAAATTTAAAAAAAATGCCTATTTTTATGAGTTTTACATGCTCAACTTAGGAATCACCATGTATTTTTCTGGTACTTCAAAGTTGTCTGTGGGGCATTCCACGCCAAATCGACCACTTTTAACCCTGACCCCTTTTGAATTGGCTGAAACTTTATTGTTTTCTACCCCGTTGAAAACCTCTCTGAGAATTTTTTCACCCAACTCAAAAAAAGTTATGAATTTTTGAAAAAATAGCTTATTTTTAAATATTCGTAACTTCATTCATTCAAAAATTGAGTTACGTTTTTTTTTCAAAATTTGTTTTTAAATGTACTGTTTGAAAAAAAAAATAGATCAAAATTATCTGGACCTATCTTCACTGTTTTTTTTCAATTTTCGAAAAAAAAAAACGAAAATTTCTCGATGATTACCATTTTTGAAAAAAAATTTTTTTTTATAAAAAAACACATTTTTTATAAATCCTGAAATTTTTTCAGAGTGGTGTTTTTTCGTTTTCTATTTATTTTTACTGATTGAAACAATTTATTTTTTCAAATTTAGCTTATTTCACATAACACCATTTTGAGAATTATTGAAAATTTATACAAAATCACAAAATTGATAAAAAATATTTGAAAGAAATAATTGAGTGGTAAACATGGAAAAATTCGATTTTTTTTGAAAAAGTTAAGAAAAAAATTGATCGTTTTGAAAAAATTTTTTGTATTTTTTTCCAAAACTGCATCCAAAAACAAAGAAAATGAAAAAAAAACAGTGCGCTATAAAAAAAAGACATGCAACGCATTTGAACTCAAATCATTTTGAACCCATTCTCTTTTGACTTTGACTTTGAAATTGTCATCAATCGCTGCATAGAATAAATTTTTTCAATTTTGGGATTCCATATACATTTTCGAAAATTTTCAAAATGGTATGTGAAATAAGCGAAATTTCAAATGTTTTTTCAATAAAAAAAAAAAAATTAACAAAAAAGCACTGCAAAAATTTGAGGATTTATTTTATAAAAAAAAAAATTTTAACATGGTAATCATCGAAAAAAACAGTGAAGATAGGTCCAGATAATTTTGATCTATATTTTTTGAAAAAGTACATTTATAAACAAAAATTTTGAAAAAAAAAACCTCCCGATAACTCAATTTTAGAAAAAGTTATGGTTATTTAAAAAAAAGTATTTTTTTCAATAATTCTTAACTTTTTTTGGGTTGGGTCGATTTGGCATGGAATGTCCCATATATTTTCCCTCGATTGCTTAACGCAGTCATTTGTTTAAATAAACATATTTATTGACACGACAGGCCATCGCGGGACTCAACGGAATGCAGCTTGGCGACAAGCGTCTGATAGTCCAACGAGCTAGCGTTGGAGCTAAGAACACCACGGTCTTGCCCGCGGTGCAGATCCAAGTACCAGGTCTCAGTCTAGTGGGTGCTTCCGGGCCACCCACCGAAGTGTTGTGTCTTCTTAACATGGTACGGATTCGTTTTTTCCGTTCCGCCTTGCATTCGGTCTTGATTTTTTACTTTTTGTTTAGGTTACACCCGACGAACTCAAAGACGAGGAAGAATACGAAGACATCCTGGAAGATATAAAGGAAGAGTGTAATAAATACGGAGTGGTCAGGAGTATAGAAATTCCTAGGCCGATAGATGGTGTTGAAGTGCCGGGATGTGGAAAGGTAAAGAGTAGCGCGCGTCAATCTTTTCGAATCACTTCATAATTTGTCTCCTTTCAGGTGTTTGTTGAGTTCAATTCTGTATTGGACTGTCAAAAGGCTCAGCAGACTTTAACGGGTCGAAAGTTCAGCAATCGTGTCGTGGTAACTTCGTACTTTGATCCGGATAAATACCACAGAAGAGAATTTTAAATTGTACCGCTAGCTTATAATAAGGCTATCTATATTTTATATGTTAAGTAATTGTTTGTAGAGGAACTTTCATTGAAATATATTAAGACTACTTTCCAATTTTTTCCTTTCAAATGTACTCCACAATAAATAAAATATATACGAACCAAATAAGCGTTTATACAGTAAATAAATTTAAAATCGCTGAAAAAGCAATAAATTTGACATAAACATAACCTCAAATTGCAAAAAGCGATTTTTTTGCGAACTGCTGCAACATCGGTGCGAAACAACCAACTCACAAACCTATGTATATATATATAAAAGTAAATCTAGACGCGTCAAATCTTCGAGCAATTACAGAGAATAGCCCAAAGAGAAATAACTACAAATTAGCGTTAGCATGTTGCTATTTTACATATTCTAATATAGGTTCTATTTACTGTATTAATCGATACGAGGCGACGCAAATTTCTGTTAATCTATGGTGTCAATGGGGTACCATTTCCTGTTTTTTTGACAGCTTATTTTCATTTATTTTGGTTCAGACACGTCACGTGACATCTTTGTTTTGTATTGTGTTGTGCAAATTTTCTTGGAAAGTATAATAATTCGCAAGGCAATATCGAACTTTATTTATCATCTTTAAATTGCAAGACTTGCACTGCCATCACTTTTTATTAAAAGTATGGCTGGTGAAAGCATAGAATCGAACTTTGTGTCTATGAGACAAGCTGTAAGTAGAAGTTCACGAGTGTAATAATAATTTATCTCTTGTCGATACTACCAAAGTTCTACCCTTTCTAGGTGGAATTTATAGACGTCTTGGACCAGTATTCCTACAACGAGAACTTACAGTGCACCTATAAATTCAATGATTACACTCCCCAAGAAGGAGATAGAGTAGCTATATTTAAGCTGGGATGGAATTTCGTGAAAGACTATGTAGTATTCGAATGGGTACCCACTGGAAGCAATAAAGACAAGGAACACGTAATCTTCAAAAGTAAGTTTGTTTGTATCCATACTCTTCAAATAGCGGATTAAAATATAACTTTTTTAGAGCACGTCCTTCCAAAGAACAGTGAAATTTACCAGATCTGTTACATCAGCGGGGAAAATGTTTTGCAAGGGGCAAGTTCTCCGTTCCAATTTGCGGCAGAAGTAATTCCTATGACGCAAAGCAGTATGTCTATCGTATCTGGAGAAGATGTATGTGACAGGACAATATCGGACAACCAGGATGAATTACGTAAGTTAAAAGAAGAAAACGAAATGTTACGCACGTCCCTAAAAGCCGTGATTTTCCAAAAAAATGGACGGGGCGCTAAGAACTACGACTCCGAGATCAGCGATTTAAGAAAAATTACTGACAGTTTAAAAGAGGCCCTGGCCCAGCAGCAAAAAGAGATAAACATGCTGAAAGTGAAGATTACAAATGGCGGAGAAGAGTACAGGAAATTGTATTTGGAGAAGGTTAAGGTTGAAAAGAAGTACGATAAATTGAGGAATAAAATGGAGGATACTGGGAAAACGGTTTCGGAAGCGGTTAACTTTGATATCGGCGATTTAAAGTCTATACCGCCTTTCCCGTTTTCAAAATAATTTTATTTGCTGATATGACGCATAATACCTAGGAGTATTTGTATATTTTGTATATATTTGTCTAGATTCCCGACACGCCGCTATTTCACCATTGTGATCTTTAAAACGTAGTAAAATAGGAATATAATTTATGAATTAATAAAAATAAAATGAATATTTAACATAATTTTTTTCAATTATAAAAAATATATGCAGGAAAGAGCACAAGTGCTATGTTGATAATCTTGAGACTGAGCTAAAAATGCGTTTGTCCGTAGCTGCGTTATTTGTTGGTTAATTTTTTGAAAAAACATCTCGAAAGATGTTTGACGTAAATTAATCACTTATTTTCTCAAAAAATATAGGAAATTTTTTTCTCGCAGACCACAGAAGAAAAACAGTAATTATTCTGCGTCAAATTATTTGTAACGTGTTTCAAAAACACCCAGTAACTAACAATTGAAGTAAAGAAATTTATGCTTTGCGCCTACGCCGTGGGGTAAATCTGTACGTCATTTCCGATCAGATCAGGTCGTGATTACCGCACCACGAGAATAAAAATAAAATTCTATATGCTAAAATTGTAGGAAAGTAATACTCATTCCATCACCACCAAAAGCTCAATGGCAATGATTTTTTTTAAATATCGGAGAGGTTAATGTAATACGGACATTTCCATCCAAAAAGCTTCGGCTACTACCGTTCAGAAGGCACTTCGATCGACTTCATTAAATTTGACTTATTTAATAAATTACACATATATTTTACTATTTATTGCTTTCACTATTTGGTGTTAATAATTTAAATAATGAATTAACTCCATTTGTGTGACACAGCCTTCAATTCGACGACGTCGATGGATGTGCGCTCTATACACCAATAGTCTAAGTTCACTTACAACTACTGTGAGTACCAGGAAAAATTAGCACGAACTCTCGTGATCTACGCACTCAACGGTTCCCACAGCTGATGATTCGTGAATCATTGCCAACTCCTAATTTTAGAGTGGTTACGTACGTTTGTGTTAATTTTGTGTCCAAATTAACATTCCATAGATAAAAACTATGATACTAATCGCATTTGTGTAATAAAAAACTAACGTTTGCGGTACGACAGGAAAATCTTGGAGACGTCGGACGTGGAATTTTTTTGGGTTGGTAATAATTCCTTGAGAGCCGTGAGGTGAGTCGTCACTCGTCATCTTAGAGAAATCGGTATAAAAGTTGTTCCCGAAAGCCGTTTTATTTCGATCTCCGGCCGTTTCGTAATGTGGTAAGTAACTCAACTTAAAAATAATTCGCTGCTGCTATATTTATTTAGGCGTGTCAGGTGTTTCGGCATGAGAAACCACAATAATCATCGTAATATCCCGCATCCATTTACAATATATCATTCAATTGCATTAATTAACTCCTTCCAAATTCTAGTACGCATTTTTCTTTCTAGGTCCGTGTTTTAAGTACGCTTGGGATGTGATTTTTGTGTAAACGTAAATTTCTCGCAAGTTAATAGCCCGAATGATGACTTTCCAAGGTGTTTTTAAGAGATAGTGTGAAATTACTGTTTGTGATTTTTTAAATAAAGTGAACTTTGGTATTTGTCAGCTGTCATTATATTTACCCAAAATGTCCGAGGATGGGTTCTCTGATGGTTTTGAGGAACCCAATATGGAAATCCAAATTAAAACACTCATGGGCACCACGTTTGACATCAAGGTTTCCTCCACAGAAACTGTCGAGGACATCAAAAAGAAAATTTATCGGGTGGAAGGTAAGGCTTCCATATCAACTATTAATTAAAAGTTTTTCTCAGTATTACGATAACGGATTTACACATTTCCTTTATTAAAACACGTACAGTCACAATGTGACTTATTTTACGATGTAACATAACATGATATTACTGCATAAAACTTGTGTTATTTATAGAATCTTAAAAATATTAAAGAACAATGTATTGTATCTACAAATTTAACTGTTTGTTTAGAGTTCGTGCATAGTTTGTGTGCCAAATAAATATTCAAATATGTACAAATTTAGCTAACCATCAAGGACAGACAAACATTATTGAATTTGGTGTAAATTACTCAAACTCAAGGTGCAAGTGCAGATAACGAAAACAATGTGAATTCAAAGCAAAATTAAAAATAGTACCTACATTATTTTTAACATAAAATTTATAGTGCACCTCCCTCGACACCTCCTATTTATAGTCAGCCATGTTATTTCTCTACAATTTAACAAGTAGCATTTTTTTTCCTCTGTACTCGAAAGATCTTAGAAAATTGAAATCTTAGATTCATTGAGCTTATTTGAAATAATTAAATTTGTGGATAATTTATAAAAAACATTCATTGTTCCATTAAAAGCCATTTGAAGTGTTTGCCACAAAAACATTTGTTTCCAAGAAACCCATCCTGTTATTTTGTTATTAATTTATTGAAACAGTGTAGTATTTAACGATGTTTACGTACAAAGCCATTTATTTTTATTTTGTTAATGAATTTCTCCAGTAACAAACACTTGCAGTTTTGCTAATTCGCCATGACTCACATGCCTGTTGGTGTTAATAAATAACATTTCTGGGTTTCACGTATTATGTATCTGATAAATAGTAACCAGTTTATAAAAATAGAATCACTAATTTATCACTCGTTTCAAGTGTGGTACGGTTGTTGACTGGATGTATCCTTATCAAATGTGTTATGTTGCAACTTTTAAGAATTTGCCACATATTTAACTTGGCCTGCCGTTTGGCTCATTGACATTCCTATCATTGCGGTTGTGTTGTAGTTGTAAGATTTTTTCGACGTTATAATTTTTTTATCACGAGATTGAAATTGGGTTGATAATTTCATTATGGGTCGTTTTAAGAAAACTGAGTTATATTCAATTGGAAATGAATGAAAAAAATATTAGTAAGATTACGATATTTACTAAATTGCAAAGATTGTTTTTATGAAATAATTTCTTGCCTAACTAAATATCTCGCAATGAGAAAAATAGACAAACAAAAAATATATTATTCCATTTAGTTTATTGTCAAAAATTAATCTTTTTTTTGGTTTTTGATATGTCTTTTGTAAATGAAAATCGGTAAACCAAGTGAAGTGCTACATATTTTTAAAAATAATAACAATAACATACGAATTCATTGAATAAACCATATGGCTATTGACCTAAGTCTTTCATTTTCTCAAATTTGGTTGCGAAAACTGATTTTCTTAACCTGCTGTCATATCACATCAAGTGAATAAATATGCAGCTACCTAAACTAGGTCAGTGTCACAGGTCGTTGACATTAAGATTCACAAACTAGACAAAATGCTTAAAAAAATAGCAACAAATACTTTTTTTCTCCAAGCGTAACAAAACTATGACATTTTATTTACTGAGAAAAAAAATAGTATCTTAGCAACAAAAGTATTCACTTTTAATCCTAGAAGCTAAAGTTGACACTTTTAATCCTTAGATTAAAAGTGTTAATCGAGATTTAATTTATAAAAGTTTATTCAGCAATATTTACAATAAGTTTTGTTTATCCACATTGATATTAAATACACAGTTTGAACAAATAAATAAATTAAATAAACCGCTGAAACTGCCACTACCTTCATTCTTGGAGCAATTCTCAAAGCAGTTTTAACGCATTTTCATTAATAGTTATATTATTTTCAGATGTGAAATCAGAAATGACAACGGTGCCTCGTTTTTCATTACCACTATCAACTTTCCGTATTCTTTTCCCAATATTTTCTTTATTCAAAAGTGAGTCTTCAATCTAACCTTCCGCCACAGTGCTCGATCTCCATCCTCCATGTCTTTTAAAACAAGTGGGGTCACCACCACCGTCAACTAAAAGGGTAGCAGATGTTCGTCTTAATGTGTGTCCACTGTACTTTTTCCAGTTGTTCAGCTTCAAAAATTCCGCTAGTTCTTGCGAGACAGCCCTGATTTTATGAATTCCGACCACAATTGGATGACGATGACACTTTCCACTAACATATCCGAGAAATAATTGATATTCTACCAATCCGGGTGGACATAAAGCAACATATTTTTGTTAAAATCTTAAATAATTGTTTCTCAATACAGTAAAAGAACGTGATCTCTTAGTTTTGGTATTGGGAATTTTTATAATTAAGGCGGATTTCACATCTTCGACATTATCAATTGTTAAATAGACTAATTCATCGGAGCGGCATACGCCTGCAACCCCCAATATTAGGACGACCTATAAAGAAGCTTTTTAACAATTTTGTTGTTTTATTTTTAAATCGTTTACCTTCATCAAATATAAAGTATCAGGTGCACTATTCTAAATGCAATCAACTTGCTCTTTTGTAAACACTCGCAATTCTTTCGTACATATCCCCCATTTTGTCTCTTGAGAAAAGGACGTAACTTTGAATATTTGCTTATATCAATCCCCTTCTTTACATCCAATGTTGACTGCAACATTGAATATTGTGACAAAAGCGTTGACGGCTTCATTTTAATCGCTAGGTTTGAGAAATACACCATCAATGCATCTTCTGAATACAACTTAATGTTTTTTTCCTTACACCAATCCATATAACGTTGATAGACACATTCATAAATTTCTCGAGATTTCTTTGGGAGAAGATCAAAGAAACCTCTTGCACACTCCAGTACACCTAAATCTTCATTAGATAATTCCATTTTACATAGTTTTCAGCAAATTGAACCACAAACAATCACAAATGAACTCAATTAGCAATATGGCGACTAATGTTTGACAAAGTATCCATGACTATATCGATATATCCTACTTACTTACCTATTTTGCTGTATTATCCAAATTTGGTTTGAATAATTTCAAAGCACAAATTAATAATTAAATGGAAGATTTCGGTTGGAGAAAAAATAGCATATTTTATTTGGATTAAAAGTGTCTTTTTTGTCTGGCAATTTTGCATCTGCTCGGCTATGCTACGCTTCGCCTCGGCAAATACAAAATTGCCTCGCCACAAAAGTAACACTTTTAATGCTAATATAACATTATACTATTACTAAAAACATGAATTTGATTTAAATCATATTTCTTTCGTGTAGGAATACCCATTTACCAGCAGAACCTGATATTCCAGTCGAGGGAATTGAAGGATAGGAACCGGTTGGGGGATGCGGGCATCCGAAACGGTTCGACGCTCACCCTCGTCGCCTCCATGCGGGGCGGCCCCATCTCGACCAGGAGGCTGTCGGTGGCCTGCGAGCACCACGTCATGCTCAAGGAACTGAAGGAGCTTTTGGAGAACACCAGGTAAAGCGTCGTTTGTCCTTAGCGCCTCAAAAATATAGCTTTTTGCGGTCGAGGCATTATTGCGACAGGGTGTGTCGGAAATGGTTGGAAAAAATTAAATTATGAAATGCCCAATTGATTTTGTGAGGGTGTTTGTTATAAAAACTTTCCATCCGAGTGTCCTCTTAAGAGTTGCAGGTTTTTTGATCGTTCAAAACGGCTGAAATTAAAAAAAGGGAAAAACATTTTCTTGTTACTATTAATTATTATTCTTCTACTGTTAATTTTTGTTTTCAGTTGGCTCATATTATCTTTCAGATTTTTGAGGATTAAGTTGAGATACTTAGGAATTTGATAAACTTTTTTATATCCTGTGAAATTGCAGTATTTAATTTAGTTTTTGATTTAAAGAAATGTGTTATTCGGATTAACATTTTTAATAACTGCTGTTACAAAATTCTTACTTGTAAATATAGTATATTGTTATGCTTTTCCGCTAAAAGTAACACATTTAACGTTAACAATATTAAATACAAACAGTTTTACAGCTAAAAAATATTAAATCTAACAACATAGCATAAAATTATTTCCAAAATTTGCTAAAAATTTGTGCTTCTATAATATTAATTATTATTAATCGAAAAAAAGAACTTAATTAAGTAAATATCGATATATATATCGAATATCGAATATAAATAATAAAATATCGATCAGAATAATAATACTATTCAAAAATTGAAATTTACTCAAAAATAAATAGCTTTTATCTATTTCATCAAAATCCCACTATTAGAAGCCCCAGGTCATCATTGTTGTTCATTTTGGTTCTTGTTGGTTCTAAGGCTGCTAGGGGTGGAACTCGTCATCAGGTAATGGTTATCCTTTGAGATGTGTGATAGTGGCTTTTGTAGCAAGTTAAGGAACCACTATTGTTTGAGGAACAGAAATGTCCATGGTGGTTTTAGAACCAACAACAACCGACATGAATATGTGCCCCCGCAGAACTTAGCCCGAGAACAACAAGAGCGGGTTAGAGAATCGTCGGTAAGTCTGTAATTGGCAGCAACCACACATCATATTTAAAGCAACTGTAAAGTGAACAAGGATTTTTTCAACTGTTTCCAGGTCACCCTGTATATCTGTTCAATTGGTAGGCTTCTTAACCGTAGTATTAATAAAAAAAAGTGACTTTAATTTGCCCGCGATTGCAGTGTTTCTTATTTTTCAGAGACGAGATCGCTCCCGGCTCCAAAGTATCCGTGTTGGTTTTCAAAGAGGGCGACATCATCAACCTGCTGCGGGTGATAGAGAACGAGGACGGCTCGTACTCCCCCTACAGCGAGAAACCCATATCGCCCCCCCAGAAGCCGGCGCGGAGGGAGTGCCGCACCGGCATATTTGAGCGGCTGGTAGAGGACAGCGAGATGTCCACCAAGATGGCCAACCTCCGCCAGAAGATGGAGGAGCTCAGCGTACGGAAGCGCAGCAAGACGAGTAAGGCCAAAACGACGGCCGCCGCGGAAGCTTTCGGGGAGCCGTCGAAGTCGGCCGAGGGCAAGACCCACCCGTTGTCGTTTAAATTTTTAGCGGAATGCGGAAACGATTTTTTAGATAACGTCAACCTGAAGATTTTCGAGAAAAATTTCGAGGAGGAGAGCGAGGAGGAGATAGCGCTGAAGGAGAAGCACCGGTCGAAACCCCACAAGACGGCCAAGATCAAGTCAAAGTCCCTCTACAACGAATCGAAGGGGGCGTACAGCCACACGAAACAGAATTACGCGAGGATACACAAGAAAACGAGGGATCTGCACGCGGGCGAGGGCACTTCTAGGGAACGGACGCTGGACGACCTGTCGCCCAGGAAGCCCATGAAGGAACTCACCTCTAGCCTGGCCGAGCAGTTTGCGGTCTTAGAGGAGGACAATCAAGATCTGTATGGAGAATCCGTGTCGGTGTCGGCACGAAACAGGGTACACCTCACCCGTCTAGTACTATCCGAGACTGCGGAACGGCCGAAGAGCTCCCCCAACAGCATCGAACTGGAGGAGAACGCTCAGGACCTGTGGGAGATACACGAACCCGCCTCGGAGCGCCTCAAACACAGCGCTACGTGCAAGGTGGGGCTGTTGAAACGCCGGCAGAGCCTGGACTACGGTTACGAGGGCATAGAGAACGCCCCCAAGCCGGAGATCGGGAATTACTCGTGCAAGAACTCGGAATTCGAGGTGTGCTCGGGCAACTTCTACCACATGCCGCAGTTCGTGTCCTCCCCCAGCGCCATCCCCCCGCAGTACGCCCCCAAGGACCAGGGCCTGTGCGACTACTACTTCAGCAAGCCGAGTCGCAGTCCGCTGTACGGCCGCAAGAGCAAGGAGGACGCCGCTACGAAGGAGGAGCCCTCGACCGAGAAGGGCGACGGCTACAATTTCCTGAGCGAGTGCTCCGGTATCCAGAGACTGAAAAACGAGGGGGCGGGGACGGAACGCGACACCGGCCTGTTCTCCGGCCACGACACCAGCATTGACGAGTTGTACGGCTACTACAACCTCGGCTGCTCGGCGGAGCTGCTGGGGGAGAGGGCGACGGGACAGCCGCCCAAGCTGGAGCTGCCGCCGGTGGTGAAGAAGCGGGCGCGGTGCAGCGAGTGCAACAAACGGCTGAACATCACCAACATCCACAATTGCCGGTGCGGGAAGATCTTCTGCTCGCAGCACAGGTACTCGGAGGTGCACCGGTGCAGCTACGACTACAAGACGGAGGGGCGCAAGATCCTGGAGCAGCAGAACCCGCTCGTCACCGCCGAGAAGGTCAATAGAATATAACGAGAGTGCCTGTACATTAACTTTTTCAATAATATGCTGTATTGTCGATAAATATACTGTTTACAATTTTGCTTTGTTGCTTGTTGTCGCAGTTCTATTTTCACGCGCGTGTGTGTGTGTGTAGGTACGTACACGCCTTGGTTCTTTTTCTTTATTTTTAGTTCGCGGTAGGGAGCTGGACTGCGCAAGACGAGTAACTGCGGATGCGACGCGGGACGCGGAGTGCATGCGAGCGAGGGTGGTTTTCTTTATCGTTTCGGAGGACGGAAGGAGCGTGAGGGCAATTTCGTATGTTGTATAGGGGAGAGTGAGGCTTAGCGGTGACCAAAGATGAGTTCTGTCTTTTGATTTTGTGAGTATGTTTGATTCTTGCAGTGGTGTACGGGACGTCCCGAGTAGCGTAAGCTGGGCTTTACGCGGTGGTTGAACTTTTCGGAATAAAAAGTAAGTTTCGATAAACCTAGGAATCCAGGATACAGGGTGTTTATGTTGCAATTGCCCAAAATAATAAATAGAAAATTTACGTGAGCATTTCACATTCTATATTTTATAAGATAAACGCTTTGGCAAATTTTTGTGACAATGACACAGTTTGAACTTTTTTTTGAACAAAAGTTGATATTTTCTAAAATATCCCGTTTTCAAAATGCTTTAAATGCAAGGGATAGTTGTTTAGATAAACCCATGGCGCGATTACATAAATTTTTATTTATCGACGATGAAATACTGTTTTTGGTATAAAAAAGGTTCAAATTTTAAAATTTTGATCTTATATACCTTAAAAATATCGCATCAAGAAAGATATGGGCGAAATTTCAAATAGGCTTCGGGGCCTATACAAAATTGTACCTACAATATTTTTGTGTAACATTTTTTTCACCTTTACAAGACAATAACTTTAAAATTTGAACTTTGTTGCACAAAAATTGACCTTTTTTTTAATTATTTTAAAATTATTCAGAACAAATGTTTTAACATTTATTTAACATCGTTAGTTTTTCAAACGAAGAAACCAAAATGCGATTACATAAATCTATATTCAACAACAGTTAATTAATAAATACCTAGGTCATTTTTATATTTTAAAATTTCCAAATTTGTAAATTCTGATCTTAAAAGTGTGAAAAATATTTATCTAAGATGGAGCAAAATTTCAAGGTCTTCTAGTTTTTAGGATGTGCAAAATTTTGCCCTCGGAATTTTTTTCTACAAAATTTCACATCTTTTACACAAAAACTGTCCCTAATGGTTTTTTGTTTAAAATTACCCACATCTCGTAATTTTGCCCTTGGGATTTTTTTTTTCTACAAAATTTCACATCTTTTTTACAGAAAAACTGTCCCTTATTGTTTTTTGTTTAAAATTACCCACTTCTCGTAATTTTGCCCTTAGTGGAATCTTGTTTTTCTACAAAATTTCACATTTTTTTTACAGAAAAACAGCCTTATGGTTTTTTGTTTAAAATTACCCACTTCTCGTAATTTTGCCCTTGGTGGAATTTTTTTTTCTACAAAATTTCACGTCTTTTTTACAGAAAAACTGTCCCTTAAGGTTTTTTGTTTAAAATTACCCACTTCTCGTAATTTTGCCCTTGGTGGAATTTTTTTCTACAAAACCACATCTTTTTTACAGAAAAACTGTCCCTTATGGTTTTTTGTTTAAAATTACCAACTTTTCGTTTAGACTAGGAAATCAAAATGTGATTACTTTTTTTCGACAATTAAAGGGCATTTTTCGTAAAAAAAAGTCCACTTTTGTGGAACATATGCACAATTCTGCCCTTGGTGGAATTTTTTTTTCTACAAAATTTCACATCTTTTTTAACACAAAAACGGTCCCTTATGGTTTTTTGTTTAAAATTACCCACTTCTCGTAATTTTGCCCATGGTGGAATTTTTTTTCAACAAAATTTCACATCTTTTTTTACACAAAAACTGTCCCTTATGGTTTTTTGTTTAAAATTACCCACCTCGTAATTTTGCCCTTGGTGGAATTTTTTTTTATACAAAATTTCACATCTTTTACAGAAAGACTGTCCCTTATTGCTTTTTGTTTAAAATCACCCACTTCTTGTTTAGACGAGGAAACCAAAATGTGATTACTTTTATTTTGTTTGACAATTAAATGGCATTTTTCGTAAAAAAAGGTCCACTTTTGTGGAACATGCAAATTTTTGCCCTTGGTGGAATTTTTTTTTTCTACAAAATACATCTTTTTTTACACAAAATTTTGCCTTTGTATATTTTCTCTTTTCTTCAAGATAAGTAACCTTAAAACTTACTAATTTTTTATACAGAAAATGTCTTGTTTTTTGTTTCAAATTACACATTTGCAGAACAAATTGTTTAAACGGTAATCGCTTAGATAACGAAACTATAATTCGACAACAACTGTTAAACAATACTTTATTCTTTTTGTATACAAAAAACATTCAATTTTCTAAATCAACTTAAATTTGTCAAAAACGTCACACCACAGAAGATGGTACAAAATTTTATCCCAGGCCAGTTTAAACTCGAGTTATTTTGCTTTGTACCGGGTGTCCCAAAATTAATGCAACAAAATTTGGACACAAATCCTTAAAACAAATTAAGGGAGCCCGTATTTTTTATTCTTGTCAAATTCGAAAGAGGGTGCCACTTGGCAAATAAAAAATACGGCTCCCCTAAATTTGTCTTAAGAATGACCAAATGTGTTGCATTAATTTCTGGACACCCATTGTCAGACTTATAAAAGATAAATATTGAAATTCTGTGTAAATTTTCATTTGTTTCACTTTAGGTGTCTTGATTACGTTAAAAAAATTACAGCTTGAACACCCTGTATCTCCGAAACTACCCACGGTTATGCCAACTTTTTCTTTGTTTCAAACAGTTCTGTCCCCAGGTAAAATTTGGCTTATACAATTCGTGACACTCTGTGTATGAAAAAAATTGCAGTGCTCAACAAAGAACTTCACAAATTGAGTTTTATTTATAACGACGCTGATGAAAATATAAATAAGGGTGGATATCAAGCACGACTTGACATTTCTGGATAAAGTAGAAGTTGGCAGCTTGAAAATTAAATGAATTATATTTTGATAACATGTCGGAAAAATTTAAATTTTTTTGTCATGAAAATTCTCGGTTTGGGCAAATATGAGTCCCATGTTTCGTATCAAAATATGACCTCTTTAATTTTCACGAGCCTGGCAAAATAAATTACGTGCGGAAATGTATCATGAAATTTTTGTACATAGCAAAATGTTTGTCTTATATACCATGGCTCTAGAATTATGACCCGACTTTATTAAATAAAAACTCAACGTCTAGAAACTTTTCATATAAATTAAAAAGTGAACGATGCTTTTTTACTTACACTATAATTAATAAACAATTAAATGTCTTCCATAGAATTTAAACGTTTTTTGCGAACCGAGAGACTAAAATTTATTTTAAAATTAATTTTCCTTAGCACAGTGGCGACTAATCCGATCGAATACTATTTAAATTGTATCGGCAGTTACTCGGATATACTGTAACATACATTTCTCCCATATTGGGTTTATATTAGTTTTTAACTTAATATAGTTTGAATTTGTCTTTTATTTTCTCGCTAATTTTGAGAATCATTAATGTTTAAACACTTTTTCTTCCTTTACTTCAAAATACTGTTCAAATGTTCCTGTTCGGAGTAATATTTGAACCGTCCTATAAAAAATACATAATTATCGAAAATAAGAAAAAAAAAATCATGTATTATACTTTTGTGATTAGACTGTGTTAATATTTATTATCCTTGTATATACATATAATATATATTTTAAAATATAACCTCTCTCCAAAACTAGAACTTCTATTTTCTTTAAACACCCTATCAGTCGCTCCTTGAATAATCATAATTTTTGTTTTATTTCAATACTTCAGTCATGGGGGTCTCCCGAAGAAATTCCAAACAGGTAAGTAATATACAGGGACGGCCAAAAGTACGGAATAAAATTCATATCTTTCGAATGAGTTAATTTTTTTTAAAACGCCGAAACACGTTAACTGATTTTGATTTTTTCCCATCTTTCGGTTATATAATAATTTTTCTTCAACCCCCTAACCCCCAGCTATCCCTACTTTTTTTTTTCAAATGGAAACAAGGCATGAGGGGGCTCGTTGAAAAGCTTATAGAAAACCGAAACCAGCCATACCAAATAAACATGTTTTATTTTTTCAATAACAAGTTTTTTTTCATTTAGAAATTGAAACAACTAGATAATTTACAAAAATAAACTCAATGTCGCAAATGCTGAAAATGTCCTGCATTCACTATTTGGCATTCTCCAAGACGATAGTAAAAGCTGTCCACAGCATTCTGAATGACTTCAGCTGGTAAATTATGCATCTCCGCCCTAATCTTGTTCTTTAAATTCTCAATATTATCCGGTCTGTCCTGGTAGACTCTTTCTTTCAAATATCCCCAAAGAAAATAATCCAGGGGTGTTAAGTCGGGGGATCTTGGCGGCCATTCAACTGTACCCCGTCTACCAATCCAGCGATTTGGAAACATTTCATCTAAGTATCTTCGAACATCAATACCAAAATGTGGGGGAGCGCCATCTTGTTGGAACCAAATTCTTTCATTCGGTATATCTGGATCAATTTCATGAGGGAAAATCACAGCTAGAGCAGGTATCAGGTCAAATGTTAGGAAATCCAGGTAGCGTGCGGCAGTAAGATTTTCTTCAAAAAAGAATGGGCCCAAGATTCTGTTGTTGATGATACCTGCCCATACATTAACTTTTTGTGGATGCTGCGTATGCGATTCGCATGTCCAGTGTGGATTTTCCTGGGACCAAAAGCGATAGTTGTGCCTGTTAACCACTCCATTTAAATAAAACGTAGCTTCATCCGAAAAAAGTACGTCTCGTTGAAAACCATTATTGTCGTCACACCGTCTCATCATTTCCTCACAAAATTGTAATCGCCTATCATAATCGTCTTCCAAAAGCTCTTGGACAAGACATACCTTATAGGGGTGGTATTTCTCTTGTTTCAGAAACATTCGAATTGCAGTTCGAGAAGCATCGTGATTGCGGGCC